ATGTATGTTTCAAGAATTTTTTTAATCTTTCCGCTAGAATACTGTTGAAATTTTTGTAATCTACATTAAGTAACGAAATTGGTCGATAATTTTTTACTTCCTCTGGGTCCGAATTTTCTTTATGAATTACTGATATGTTAGCTTGTCTCCAGGAGTTTGGTATTTCTTTATTTATTCTTATATTGTTCATTATTTTCTTCAGATATGATGTGAGTTCTTGTTGGAATATTTTATAATAACCTGATGATAACCCATGCGGGCCTGGTGCTTTATTTGGTTTTAGATTTTTTATTGCTGTTTTTATTTCTAGTTCCGATACTTCCTTATTTAGAATTTCTCTTTGTTTATCCGAGATCTTTTGTATTTTTTGTTTTCCTAAGTACTGATGTATCTTTTCCCTATCAATCTTCTCGTCCTGATATAGTTTCTTATAGAAATTAAAAAATTGGTTCCTAATCTCTTTTTCCTCAGTATATATTTTTGTCTTTTATCTTCGTAATATGGAATTTTTCTATTTTTTCCGCAATTTGTTCGCTAACCATTTCCCTGATTTGTTTGTGTTCATGAAGTAATTTTGCCTTATATATTTTAATTGCTTCTCTTTCTCTTCCAGTTCCAAGAATTCTAATTGCTTACGTAGATTTTCTAATTTACTTTTAACTTCTTTATTCTTTGGACTTTTTTAAACTTATCTTCCTCCTTCCCTAATTCTCTCATAATTTCATCCATCTTTTTCATTTTTTGTTTATTTCTAAATATTTTTTGTTGCATGAAATGGCCCCGCATTACTGCTTTGCTTGCTTCCCATAGATTTGAAATATTTGTCTCCCTATTGTCATTCATTTCGAAATATTCTTTTAATTTATTTCTAATTCTTTCAATATTATCCTCTCTTTTTTATTAAATTTTCATCTAATCTGTGTCTTCTTATTTTTTCCCCTGTCTCTATCTTTAGCTCTAGTGGGCAATGATCTGAATCCGTCCTCGGCAGGATCCTAAAACTCTTAACTTTCCCTATCATTAGCGTTGTTGCCCACATCATATCAATCCTTGACCAATTTTGGAATCTGGTCGAGTAATATGTGTAGTCCTTTTTATTTCCATTTTTTATTCTCCATATATCTCTCAGATTTAATTTTTCCATCATTTTTATCATTATGTTTGGGAGGTTTCCTTTGTCCTTAGTTTTCTTTTATAGTATAATCTATTTTACTTCTATCCAGATCTCTATCTATGACCCCATTAAAGTCCCCCATAATTATTAAATGGTCATACTCCTGGTTCTCTATCTTCTTTTTTAAATTTTTCTGTGAATTTTATCTTAGAGTCATTGGGTGCGTAAATATTGAAAATTAATAATTTCTGGTTATGTAATTTTATATTTATACCTAGAAATCTTCCCTGTTCATCTTTAAATGCTAATTCTGCTGGGATGTCTTTATCGACATAGGTTACCACCCCTCTCTTTTTCTCTTGTGCTGAGGCTATGAATGACTGGCCCAGATTTTTATTTTCCAAATATCTTGTATGGTCTTTCTTAACGTGTGTTTCTTGTAGTGCTATAATATGAAACTTTTTCTTTTTTAGGTTGTAAAAAACTTTATTTCTTTTATTCGTATAATTCAGTCCATTAATGTTATTTGAATACAATTTTAATTCCTTCATTACTTATTTTCTTCTCTCGTCCCTTCTTCCTTTTCTCTTCCCTCTTCCTCTGGCTCCTCTCTCTCTTCTTCTTCCTCTTCTTCACTCTCCTCTACTTCACCATCTCTTATCTCATCTTCTTTGGGTCCATCTCGTTCCATACCGTTTAAGTCTTGTTCGCAATTACTTCTTTCCATGGTCCTCTCTCGCTCTTCTTTCTCTCTCTCTCTCTCTCTATTTTCCCTGTCCTTTCTTCTAGGTCTTTTTTTCCTCATTTTACCTTTTGTAGGGTCTTTACACTTTTCCTTTTCTTCCCTTTTTATCTTTTCTAAAAATTCTTTTGCTCTTTCTGTGTTTTTAATCCAGTATCTCTGGTCTCCATATGATTCCATCAGACCTTCCTCTCGTTCCCATCTGTATCTTATTCTCCGCTTCTTTGGCTCTTCTGTCAGGAAATTGTATTTTCTCCTTTTCGTTAGCACCGTGTTTGGATATTCCTTCAGAATAATAACATTTTTCCCTTTATAGTATACTGTTCTTCTATTATTTGTTTTTAACACTTCATCCCTTGTAGTTTTCTTTGCAAAGTGCACCACGACATCTCGTGCTACTCTGTTTCTTGTCGCGAAGTTTGTGTTCACTCTGTAGACTCTGTCTGTTTGTTCCTGCATTTCCTGATCTGTGTATTCTAGTAATTCAGCTAGGATTTCAATTACATTGTCTCTTATGTTCTCTTTTGGATCTTCATCAATGTTTCTCAATCTCAGCTGGAACTCCAATTCCTTCGCCTCCATCCTTTCACATTTTTCTTCTAGTCTTGCCGCTTTCTGTTCTAGACTTTTGATTTTTACTTGTAAGACTTCTTGTGTTTTCTCGATCTCTGTTTTTTCCATCTTTAGCTCTTTAAATTCTTGTTGCATTAGTGTCAACTCCTTTTTGACTCCTCCTATTTCTTCTTTTATTTCATTTTTCAGATCTGCCATCTGTTCTTGGGATGCTTTCTGTGCCGCGTCTTGTTTCTCTTTGACTGACTGTAACTCAGACATCATTTTTTCCGTCATCTTCTCCAACATATCTTTCAGTGTTTGTTCCTCCGCCAGGGAAATTCTTCTTGTGGTGCTTCTGGTTTCCTTCTGTTCTTTGTCGCTCTTCTCATTCTTCTCATCCCGTCTTTTCTGTCTTATTTCTTGTGTTATACATCTTCTAAATATTCAACTGGATTTTTATCTTCACTATATCTCCTTGATTTCGTTTTCTTACTCTTCCTGTATTCCTTTATCTAATTTTGTAGAATAGTAATTATATTTGTTTTAGTAATAATCCTTCTGCAGGTCTGCCCCCTTTTTATTTACTTTCCCCCTCCTTTAGTCCCCCAATTTTTTCCTTATTATTAATATTATTATTTTATTTTTATTTATTTCTTTATTTAAATTATTTAATTTTCCAATTGAATTATTATTAATATTTTCTGTTGATTTTTCTACTAATTGTATAATACTTTCTGTTTATTCAATTTTTTATCTTAAGTTTCCAGTAATTCTTTTATTTGACTTACAGTTCTTCTTGTCTGTTGATCTTTTATCCTTATATTCTGTCTTCGGGTGTCGGGTTCTCTCTGGTGTTTATTTATTATTTTTTGGCCACCGCCGCTTGCCTTCCCTTTTCTGGCCGGCTGAGTTCCTGAGGTTCTCCTCTCTGTCACTTTGGCTCCCTTCTCCGTGCCTCTTCTTGCGCCCCTTCTCCTGTCTTATTTTGTTCTGGTTTTATTTAATTTGAATTTCCCTTCTCGCGTTCTTCTCTTTTTGCGATATTTCTCCTACTCACTTCCTGGTTTTCTTCTCGTTCCAAATCTCGCGACCTTCCCTATTCTCGCGTTATTTCCTTGTTCCTTCTTGTACTCTCTTCCTTATTCTCACGATCTTTGTGTCTCCTTCCTTCTCGCTCTTCTCAGGCGCCCCCTCCTTTTTCTCTCTCTTCCTCCCAGTCTCGCGCAATCTCCCCGCATGCTCTCCCACTGCGACGGCACAACAACAAGGCGGCGCGGCAACGCAGCGGCCCAGTGACGCAGAAGAGGCGACAGGAATCCCCAAGGTCACCTCTCCCTCAATGTCCCTCCTCCTTCAGACCTCCTCTCCGCGCTCCTCTCCTTAGTCAAAACACCCCTTCTTCAAGGTCAATTTGGCTATTTATCTGATTTATTTACTTGTTGATTCCTTTAGCAAACTCTTCTTCAGTTCTGGTGCAAGGTCAATTCAATTAAAATTCTAGGGGTCTCGGAAGGGCCTTATTATTCCCTATTATTCTTTTATTGTTCTTTTATATTGGTACTGTAGTTCCTGTAATTTTTTGGGTCTTCTCCCTTTCCCTTCACCCTTATTTCCTTATACTTTGCTTTCCTTCTTTGTTTTTTCTTTACTTATCTTTCTCCGTTTCACTTATTCTCTCGCTTCCCTTTCTCCGTCTTGTCCTTTTCTTTTCAAATAAGCTATTCTTTTATTCTTTTTTCCCGTGAATTACTTCTTTCCTTTCCTTTTTGATTAGTTTAGACTTCCTCTTTCAGCACCTCCTCCTCCTTTTCTTCCTTTTTCCACGTTTAATATTTCCCAATTTCCTCACTTTCTTCTTCTGGGAAAGCTCTTTAAAGATTCCCTTCTGATACCCCTTCCTTCCTCTTAATTATTTCTTACCTTTTCCTCCTTCTTTCCTTCTTTCTTCATCTAAAAGAGCATGTGGCTGGAGATATGCAGGCTTTCAGCCTGCTGCATTTTGGAGCGATCCGCCGTACCTCGGGGCCAATACCGGGTACTTTTGGAGGTCTCCTCTTGAGGAGAAGACCCCCTTTTGGACCATCGGCTGACCCTCCCGGTTTCGCTGTTCCCTCTGTATCAATCCACAGTTGGGAAGGGAGCTCACGCTCTACCCGATCAGCTCCATCGCTCACACACTTTGCAGAGCTCTAGTGTGTGCGACTCTCCGCCAACTTCATGCACCCGGAAGTCGAGCAGTTTTTCACTTTCATGGGGGTCCTTTGCCCCAAAAAATGTGGAAGGCAGTTTGCAATTCTTCCTAATGTTTCTACCTGAACATTAGAAAGAACTTCCTGACAGTGGAACTCTCTGCCTCAGAGCGTGGTAGAAGCTCCTTTCTTGGAGGCTTTTAAATAAAGGCTGGATGCCCATCTGTCAGGGGTATTTTGACTTTTCCTGCATGGCAGAAAGGGGTTGGAGTGGATGATCCATGAGGTCTCTTCCAACTCTATGATTCTTTGATTCTAATCCCAATGTAAACAAATAAGAGAAATAAAGCGAAATAAAACACCCGCTTCTGCCACATTTGTGGCCGCTGTGCTTACTGACCTGAATAGCGGATCCGGAAGCCCTTCCTGTTATAGGCATGGTCAGAGGACCAGTGGAGATAGACCCTGTTACCGGTACTGGTTACTGTTAGTGGAGCAGAGTAGTTTCCACTGAGAGACAGAAGTAGAGGACTGTGGCCTGAAGGACCTTTAGGGGAAAAATTCAGACAAAGAGTATGAGAACACCTAAAGGTTATCTGCTCAACTGTGCCCAAAATGATCAACATGGCAAATGATGGTAATGCTGATGCAGCTAATAATAATAATAATAATAATAATAATAATAATAATAATACAACAACAACAAACAGCAACAACAACAACCTGTGCCACAAATACCATCTGTGACAAAGAACTGGTGGTATCACAATCCGGAAAAAGTTACAGAAAATGAATACGTCAAACTCATCTGGGACTTCCGAATTCTGACAGACAGAGTTCTGGAGCACAATACTCCTGACCTCACAATCATGTTAAAAAGCAAAGTACGGATTGTCGATGTCGCAATCCCAGGTGACAGCAGGATTGAAGAGAAACAACTCGAAAAGCTGACACGATATCAGGATTTAAAGATCGAACTGCAAAGACTCTGGCACAAGCCAGTAAAGGTGGTCCAGTGGTGATCGGTACACTGGGTGCAGTGCCTAAAGACCTTGGCCTGCACTTAAACACAATCGGCACTGACAAAATTACCATCTGCCAGCTGCAGATCTGCATGCATCATTCACCAATACATCACACAGTCCTAGACACTTGGGAAGTGTCCAACATGTGATCCAATACAACAGCCAGCAGAGTGATCTTGTCTGCTGTGGACTCATCTTGTTGTGTTTCAAATCATCATCATCATCATCATCATCATCATCATCATCATCATCATCACTGTGTACCAATCTTGTTGTGTATCAAATAATAATATTAATTATTGGATTTCTTACCCACCTCTCCTTGCGGTTCGAGGCGGGTTACAGCATATTTAAAACACATAAACATTGTAAAAATTCTATACACACATTAAACTATATTTCTACAAAAGATGCATAGTTAAAATGTATTTAGTAAAATACATATTAAAATACACATAGATACATATTAAAATACATATAACAGAGATTAAACACAAGATACGAGTTTAAGATTCATGCTTGTTGATAATTATTTATACCCTGCTTTCTCTCTCTGCAAAAGAGACTCAGTGTGGCTTACAGTAAAGCCAATGCAATACAATTTAAAATCTGAAGATATACAAACATTAAAATAGAAATGGTGTTAATAATAATAATGGTGTTAATAATAATATTAATAATAAGGTTAAAATCCTTAAAAATGGAGTACAAATGTATTCAAAGCTAAAAACACAGAGCCTCCTGACTTGAGACCCTGTTACACAGCCGGCCGCCAACTGTGGTGGTGCTCTTCTTAATGGAGAGGCATGGAGATGGTCAGCTTGCCTCACTTCATCTTGGGTTGCTTTGCCAGCCGGCTGTCAGGATGTGGCCTTCGAGTTAAGAAAACACAGCCAGAGCCTCCTTCTTGCCTCGAAGACTCCTTCCTGACATCGGTGTGAATTATGGGTTGATAGGGGGAGCCATCTGGCAGAAGAGAATGCTTTATTGATGTGGGAATGGAATGTAGCCACAACTTGTGATAAGGGGGAAAGAAGGGGGGAGGAACCAAGGGGGATGTATTGCTGGGCATTGGCGGGAAACCCTCAGATCTCTCTTTCTAAGTATCCTGTATAGACTGAATAAACCCGTGTTCAAGAAATTGCCCTTGTGAGCATGGTTTTGTTCTAAGACCTGGCAGGAGCTGACATAAAGAGAGATCTCACAAACTTCTTGCTCGCTCCGTGAGGAAGCATCTATCCGGGGAGCAAACTATGTCCGACGACGAGCAGTTTATGGGAGCCGAGGCTAGTGCGAGCGCCACCCCGACGACCGGGCTTGAAGAGGATCCGTACCCTCAGAAGGAGGAACTGGAAGAAAGGCGCCCTGCTACTTGGCCTCCGATGACCTCCACGCAGATGCCGGCCCAGAAGGACGTAACGGTGAGGCGCAAGCTGCCCATGTCGGGGCCAAAGGAAACGTTCGGGGAGCCTTCATCGGAAACACGGTGGCTGGAGAAAAAGGTCGACGCGATGGAGCGCATGTTGCAAACTTTCTCCTTCCAGCTAGGAGAGATGCGGAAGGAGGTGGCAGTCATGGAGAGCGGCTCTAACGGAGAGAGAACAAAGGTGCTCGCAAGCGCCCGGGACTACCTATCGACCCTCGGGACGAGTGGGGTTTGCAGCAGAAGGGGAACCTTTATACCCCCCAGGTACGTCAGCGTTTACCACAGGACTGCTAGGGAGAAGCCAGCTGCCGGGTGGCCCCGGGAGAGGGGAGCTGCGCGTCAAGTTTAATGGCGACCCGAAACAGCTTTTCTATTTCATCACCAATGTGAGACACTTTATGGAAGATTACAGGGACACTTTCCCCTCAGAGGGGGCCATGATCCACACGGTGGGGGCCAACCTAAAAGACGCTGCAGCCGACTGGTTGATGCAGATGTATGACACTCGGGCGCCCGAACTGAGGAGGCTGAACGACTTCCTCCGAGCGCTCTGAGAGAGATTACAGGACCCCTTGGCTGAGGAAAAAGCCAAAGGGCAGTTAAAAAGGATTTACCAGGGAAATAAGACTGTGTCTGAATATTCCCTGGAGTTTAAAGCTGTAGCTGGTCGAATCAGGGACTGGTCCGAAACGACCAAACTGGAATACTTCCGGGCCGGGCTGCGCACAGATGTGCTGGAATGGGCGATGCACAGAGACAACCCCGACAACGGGGAACCCGGGGGAATGAGGCGCCCCTCTCCCAGGGGGAGATCAGTCAGCCGCGAGAGGAGAGGGAAAAGGGGGGCCTGCTTCACCTGTGGCCGAGAAGGACATCAAGCTGCCGAATGTCCCCAAGGGTCCAGCACCCCCAAGGCTGACAGGGTCCCTCCTCAAAAGCCGACACTGGTGTCGAAAGCCACCAAAGAAAAAGCATCCATGGCTGTGGAGTCAGCTCTGGCGCCGCACCAGCTCCCCGCCGAGGAGATTGAGCTGGAGGAAGGAGACACTGAAATCTATCAGTCGGGAAACGATCGGGATCTGCTGTAAACACTGCCCGTAGGCAGATCGAAGACCCCCAGGGCGGTGAGTTAAAAAAGCTCAACTGTGATGTGGTTAAAATAACAGTGACTTTAACAAACCCAGAATCGGGGCTGAAGATAGAGACTGAGGCCATGTTAGACTGTGGGTGCACCCGGTGCTTGATCACCCCAACGCTAGCGGCCCAATTAGGAGTAAAGCCCCGGCCCCTAAAAATCCCGGTTGTCTTCTCCCAGCTAGATGGGTCATCCGCCAATGGGGGCCCTGTGAAGGAGAAGATGGGTTACCTGCACATGGAGATCGGGATTCAGAGAGAGACTTTACAATTTATGATATCCTCCATGGCACACCAACCCATCATATTGGGAATCCCTTGGTTGAAATGGCAAAACCCCCAAATTAACTGGGCAGAGGGGACGTTTGTCTTCCCAGATGGGAGTTGTAGATGCAAAGACGCCGTGCAGATAACCCATGAACCTAAAACCCAAGGGACACTGGCAGAGGCCTCCCCCGAGGGGCCATTAAACAACATTCCAAGCGTATACCGGGAGTGGGCTGAGGTCTTTAGTGAGACAGAATGCAACCAACTGCCCCCCCACCGGAAAACAGACTGTGCCATCAAATTGGAACTGAATGTTAAGTTGCCAAACCCAAAACTATATGCCATGTCGGAACCCGAGAAAAAGGCTCTCCGGGAGTTTATTGATAAGAACTTGGAGAGGGGGTTTATAGAGCCATCGAGCTCCCCCATGGCTGCGCCTGTGTTGTTCCGGCCCAAGGCAGATGGCTCGTTGAGGCTGTGTGTAGATTACAGGGGCCTAAACACCATTTGCACTTCAAACAAATACCCCCTTCCCCTCATGACAGATATCTTGGCTCAACTGGGAAAGGCCCGAATCTTCACCAAACTTGATATCTGGGAAGCTTTCTATAGACTACGTGTCAGAGATGAGGATTGCTGGAAAACGGCTTTTAACTGTCATCTCGGGCAGTACCAATTCCGGGTGTGTCCAATGGGTTTAAAAGGCTCCCCCCGGGTGTTCATGCAATTTATCAACGAAATCTTTCATGAGCTGCTATATAAGGGGGTGCTGATCTACCTAGATGATGTATTAATATACTCAAATTCCCTAGCTGATCATATCAAAACAACCCGAAAAGTGCTTCAGATACTGAGGGAGAACCAGCTATATGTCAAACTCTCTAAATGCGAATTCCACCAGACTGAGCTCAATTACCTGAGATTCCGTATATCCACTAGGGGGCTCGCCATGGATCCAGCTAAAGTACAAGATGTGTTAGCATGGGAGCTGCCCCGTACCAGGAAACAGCTTCAGGGATTCCTGGGGTTCTCTAACTTCTACAGGCAGTTCATAAAAGACTTTGCAAGAGTGGCCCTCCCATTGACTGAACTGCTAAAAACCAAGGGAAAAGGAGAGACAAAAAAGGTAAAAAACCCCGGGGCTAAATTGCAGTGGTCATCTGAATGCCAAAGGGCTTTCGAAGAGTTAAAAATCAGGTTCACTAGCCAGCCCATCCTTGTTCATGCACAATTAGATAAGCCGTTTGTGGTACAGTGTAATGCCCCAGAAGCCGCTTATGGAGCGGTGCTGCTACATGCAGATGATGAAGGTCAACTAAAGCCTTGCGCTTATTTGTCCAAAAAGTTCTCTGAGACTGAGAGACGTTGGCACGTGTGGGAAAAGGAATCTTATGCTGTGTGGGCAGCGCTTGCTCACTGGCGGCATTTCCTGGAGGAAACTACAACTCCCTTCGAGGTGTGGACAGATCACAAAAACCTGCAAGCATTGCAAACGCCACAAAGGTTAAATGCCAAACAGCTAAGATGGGCCCAGTTTTTTCAGAGGTTTAATTTCAGCCTTAAGTTTGTCCTGGGAAGGACCAATCAGTTGGCGGACACTCTTTCACGCATGCCCGCTGCTGATTATTCGGCGCCCACAGAAATGGGAACCGTTTTCTCCCAGCAACAATTGGGACTGGCAGTACAGACGAGGGC